GACTTGTTTCTCTTAGTGACTTAACTAAATTGTTAGATATTTGCACTATGTGCATAAAGATATCAAGTTAGAAAAGCTCAAAAGGCCATCTACACTAATAAAAGAGAAACATGCAAATTGGTGTCACTCCACTACGCCCACCAGCCAATCAAGATGAGTATGCAAATTAACCCAACAAAGATGGCAATTAGTTTGCATATGCAGGCACGGAGTGAAGACTGAAGGCTCTGGCCCGAGCGAAGACTGAAGACTGAAGACGACTGAAGACTGAAGATGACTGAAGACTGAAGATGACTGAAGACTGAAGAGGCTTGCCTTCTCTGCTGTGGCCAGAGCGGAGAAGCCTCCAGGCTTGGCTTCTCCACTGTGGCCGTAGCGAAGGCCTGGGTCCCGGGTGCTGGAGGAAAACCGGTGCTGGCAGCCAGGGGAAGGAAGGCCTATTGCATGAATCTCTTTGTGCAACGGGCCTCTAGTTGGTTATAAAGTCACTGGCACTTGGTTTGGGCATGTTGGGAAGTGAGGAGTGAAGGTGCAACTCAGAAAGAGGAAAGGCCAGGAAAGCAGTAGTCTGGGAGCACAAGGAGAATCTGCATTTTCAAGAAATTATGCCTAGGGCCTCTCTTGTGATTATTTCCTGATTTATGATCATATTCCAATAAGAAAGTGTTTGAGTCTTATATTTATGGATGTGGCTTTTATATACCTGACTTGATCCACAATTTAAGAGTTATAGGTCTGGAGACCAAATGGGAAGCTAGAAAGAAAACATAGAGTCTTTAGCAGAAAGGATGCCCTGCCATGCAAAGAGGAGGGTAAGAAGAGAGAATGGTAAGGACAGTGGGGAGGTTGGAGGGGAGAGCTTCCTGGGGGTCTGGCCAAGTCCCTTGGAGGGAGAGTCAGGTGCCCAAGCACAATGTGGCAGAAAGAGCCTTCAGGAGGTGACAGGGGAATCAGGACAAAACTCCAGAGCAAAATACCTAGTAGTAGACAGTTTTAAAGGGGAAATAATAGAGAATTCGGGAATTAGGAAATAGAGAATTAGAGAATAGGGATTTCTCTAATAATAGAGAAAAGGATGGTGATAACGTGCTTTTTAAAAAATCAGCCAATGGAAGGATCTCTCCCCCATCCCCACCCCCCTATTGAAGTGTGACACCCAGACTCAAATCTGCCTGTAACAAAAACACTAAGATATAAAATTATCATTTTTAAACTTTCTGAGATCAGCCTGATTTCAGACACTCAGTCCCACTGTTGGACACTATGCTGTTTGAGGTTAGGAAGTCACTCTCTCTGCCTTCATACAAATGTCCTCGGCCATATGGTGTGTAAAGCCTTTTACATGCAAACTAGTGCCCCGGTGCATGGATTCGTGCACATTGAAAGGAAATTAATTAGAAGGTGGCTGGCGGGACGGGATTGGGCGAGATGGGCCGGACACACCCTGGAGCCAACCTCCCACGGTCCCTCCCGGGCCAGCCGCCCCAGGTGCAGTGCCGCGGCTCGAAGGGCATCTGTGGAGTGAGCAGGGTCCCTCCGGCAGGTGGGGTCCCTTGGCCTGGCCTGCGGGGTTTGGGCCGAAACTGGCTCTCCAACATCCCCCAAGGGGTCCTGGATTGCAAGAGGGCAGTTCTCGGATGACGCACCCCGGAATTGGGCTCCCTCCTCTCTGGTTTGGGGTCCCGAGAACTGTTGCTGCCAAGTCACTGCAGCTTGGTAGCTCCTGCATTGAGCATCTGCCCCCTAGTGGTCAGTGCATGTCATAGCTACCGGTCCGATGGTCAGATGGTAGCTTAGCCTTTTATATATATAGAATACACAGGTAGGAGCTCTTCTCCCTGACCCTTCTTGTGACCTTGCTTGTGGTCCTGAGTTTCCTTTCTTGTTGAATAACTGCATCACTCATTTTATCACTTGAGCCAGAAACCTGAGAAAATTCTGTTATCTATTTCTAGACTTAACAGTTTAAAAGAATAAATATTTACTATTTCACAGTTATGAGGAATCCAGGGGCAGCCTAGCTGGGTGGTTGTGGCCCAGTATCTCTTACAAGGTTGCATTCTGCTGGGGAGCAAGCGTCTCAAGGCTTGACTAGAGCTGGATGGTCCTCTTCCAAACTCACAGGCCTGGCTGTTGTCAGCCTGCACATCCTTGTTGACTGTGGGCCGAAGGTCTCCGTTTCTATCACATGGGCCCTCCATAGGCTCCCAGCGTGTCCTCCTGCCATGGCAGCTGGATTTCCCCCAGAGTCAGTGATGAAGAGAAAGAAAGACAGAGGGAAAAGAACCCCTAAAATGGAAGGCACAGATTTTCAAATAATCTAATCTCAGAAGTGATACAGACTAATCCTCAGACAGCATGCGAAGGGACTACACAAGGGTGTGAATATAAGGAGGTAGGGGCCATTGGGGACCAACTTGGAAGCTGGCTCCCTCAGAGAGGCCTTTCTCTCCTTTTCCCTCTCCTTCAGCAAATCACTAAGTCCTTCTGGTTCTTCCTCTGCGGTGTTTCTCAGATATGACCTCATCTAAAGCTGATTGCTTGTTCTGGGAAGAGGTGTGGAAGCTGATGGGGAAGTCTTGGGGATCGCATGCCTAAGGTCACAGGTGAAATGCATATTAATATGCTAGCATGGCCTCCAACCCAACCTTATAGGGAAAGGAGAAGAAACCTCTTGGCAAGCTAATATTCTGGGGAGGATTCGTTCCCTGTACAGAGAAGGGGAGACCTGTAACATCAGAGTCATCCTAGGGAAATAAGGTGCTGAGCACAACAGCAAGAGAGTGTAGATACTTTTAGACTTAGCCTGAGCACCCTAGGACTTAAGACCATAATAAGGACAACTCCCCCTTTGCATGAGGCAGAGAAAGCCTTAGGAGAGCGGTAAGCAAGGGCCTACCATTTCCCTGTGAGCATCATTAATAAGTTTAACTCCACAAGTCTACTTAGATTGGAAGTGGCTTCTGATAGCTCTCGAACTGAGAAAAACTGTGGGATCCATTCTGCTTCAGTGAGAAAGCAAGCCTTGATCTCAAGGTCTGCCATTGCCTGAGGAAGCAAGAGTTATGCCTACCATTTGGCTACTGGGAATACACCTTGTTTCCACTGATAACACTCACTTTTCCTTTTTGGGACCTTCTCTAAGATGGGCTTTTTGGGGAAAAACAAAACACTTAATAGGTAGAATTATTAGAAATAGGCATGCTTGACCCAACCTAGCTGAGTTATTTGAGCTGCTATAGCGTATCTCTCACCACATACCCACCACCAGCAGCCCTGCCTGGAATGAGATAGCTCTGGCGGGCTTCCTCCTTACACAGCCTGAGGTGGGACAGCTTGTTGAAACTGATGGGAGATTCTGGGTCTTCCATGAAATTTTGTTCTTGGATCGATAAACTTGGAATACAGAATCATAGATTTATGGACCAGAACAGACAATAGAAGTCACCAACCTGTGTCCCATCCCCATTTTACATGTGACTCAGAGAGGTAAGAGACTTACCCATAGGTACTTAATAAGGTGAAAACCCAGGAAGGACTAAAGTCTTCTGAATTCTCATCTTTCCCTGCTCCTTGTCAAGCTTGTGAGTTATCACGGACACTTACAGGAAGGGAGACCGTACCTGCCTATCTGCCCTTCCGTCCATTTTCTGCTCTTATTGTGATCTTTTCTGAGTGACCAGGCACCTCACTACCTAGGCTCCCTCATCTTCTATTTCCTGGTAGGTCTGACCAATTCGGGAGGGTTGGGGGTGGCCCTGGTAGAAAGATTTGAGAGCAGGAGTTGGTGAGAAACATTTCTTCTCCCCTCCCTGTTTCCTTTGGCATCTCCAACAGTGACCAAGCCTCCTCTGGTCCCAGCACCCATTGGACGGTCTCCACTGTGACTCTGACTTCTGCCAGATGACCCGGCAACATCTAGAAACATCAGCTTCGCCAACCCAAGGAGTCACAGCTACTTACTGCTCTGCTTACTCTCTGGGTTGCCTCACTGTCCCCGTTTGGCTCCTCCGCTCTTCTAGCATTAGTATAACCAATTCCCTGTATTAAATGATCTCTGTTTGTCAAGACCTAGGCTGTTTTCTCTTTTCTTGGCTGCACCCTGACTGATAGAGTGGGACCATCATTCTGTGTGCTCTCGGCACATTTTAGGGACACAATACATGTTCATCATAGTGAAGCAAAAAAGTGGATACATTTTTCTGAGACACTTTCCCGATGGTAAGTTTTGTGCTTCCTAAACAGTGGTGTCAAAATAATCCTTTCCCTTGATCTCATCAATCTTTTCCATCTCTGTCAGCAGTGACTCAATCATGGAAGAGATTGTTCTTGGTGCCCATGGGTGTGTATATTTTAGTTGCAACAGAATGAGCCCTAATGTCATGCCATTGGTTTCCCAAATTTGCTTTGGTAATGACTACACTTGGCCTTCCTGGTAGTGGTGACCTATAGTCCTGTTTACCCCTGTTCTTGGCCTCCACAAAGGGATTCCCACAAGGGCTCCATTTGAGATGGTGGTTTCCAGGATTGGGATATCTGCCCAATAGCACTGGACTTGAGACCACCAGCTTGTTTTTTCCAAACATTAATATCTCAGTGATCTCCAAACATATTTTCTGTTCCAGAATATTTTCCAAGTTTTGTAAGAATGTCTCTAAAGCTTTTTTCTTTTAAAGGCATAAGGTTAGCTAGCCTAAGGGGAAGGGCAAGGGTAATACATATTTTAACTTGGAAGACTAGTGTTTAAAACTTTAACCAAAAAATGTTTTTCCCTTAAAAAACAACTTTCTTTACATATTTAAGTAATTCATTTGGGAGAAATTATTACTTAGCCATCCCTTGGCAGTTTCAGTTCAAAATGCTTTGAAACTAGTCAACTACAAAGCCTCAAATGTTTTTTCTTTGAAAGCTCAACTTAACCTTCTCTACCATGGAGATGAGAAAAGTGACAACTTATTTTAAAGATTCTCCCCCTTTGCTTCTTTGTCTTTCTTTTGCAGGCCATGTGTTTATACGATGGGATCTCCCATAAACAACAGGGCCCTTTTTCCATGCCAGGAGCCCCCCGTTGCCATGTCAACATGGCAGGCCACAGTCCGAGCAGCTGCATCTTTTGTTGTTTTAATGAGTGGGGAAAATTCTGCCAAGCCAACACAGCTTCGGGAAGGTACTGTACATGTGTTCTGTGCTTCTTTGTGTATTGCACACATGCTGGACCCAGGAACCCAATACGCGCTGTTTTTCGCAACTTTAAAGAGCTCCTTTATTAGTTGGGTTGGAATGAACATGCTAGAAAACATCCTGCCAGAGAAAACAGCAGGGAGGGGGAGGCTCTGGGGAGCCTGGGCAGGCGTGCGGGGCTCTTCATGCCAGACTTATCAGTTCCTAGAGTATTTCAGCGGTTGATCTGCCCTGGTGGTTTGTGGGCCATAAGTGGGTGATCTTGGTTGAAGACTTTCTGGGCAGGCAAGTGTGTCATGGAAACACCGTTACTTACAGTTGAGTTGTCTGTGGTTGGGTCCTGGAGCCTGCACAGGGGGTTCATTGCACAGGGAGTTCATTACGCCGAGTGATAGCGCTGCTGTTGGCGGGCCCGCCAGAGCTGTTCGAGTCCAGCTCTGTCCCTCAGAGTTCTGAACCCAAAGCGTAAAAGATGGAAGGCAAGTGCTAATGCAGATCAAGGTTCTGTCTGGGGATTATTTGCTTATTGCAGTAATTAACTCCTCTGAGAGCCTAAGCATTTTGATGCCAGGTGAAATTTTTATAATTGTAACATTTCTTCATTTTAAATAAGGTGTCTCTCACATACCTTTAGAAACTTTAAATTTTACAGGAAATTAAAAGTAATAAAATTAAATAATTTTAGAGAAAGTGATTGCTAACATTTTGTTGCATTTCCCTCCAGTATTTAAAATCTACACAGATGGTACATATTGTCATTTCAAAATTGCCGTCATAGCACATAACAGCTTTTTTTTTCACTTATGGTGTATTTTGAACATTTCCCAGGTCATTAAGTATTTTTTAAAACTATAATTTTAATGTCTGCATAATATTTTATGGTATGAATATATCATATTTTAACATTTTTGTATTATTAGACATTTTTATTGTTTCCAGGTTTTTTCCTGTTATAAAGTTGCATTAAATTCCTGAGGAGACATTTAGTATAAAATTAGAATTATTGAGTCAAAAGTTTTCAGCACGGATAAGGCTATTGGTACATATTTCAAGTTGTTTCCCAGAAAGGCTGTGCCCATTTGCAGTTGTACCAATAGTACATTTTCATACCCATCAGTAGTTATAGGGTCCCTATTTTCCATGAATTTCACCCATTTGCTAGGCAAGAAAAGGTCTGTCTTTAACATAGATTACTTCAATTATCAATGAGGTTTTACATGTCCTTATATTTTTCTTAACTATCTTCATTTCCTGACTTTTTATTTCCTTTGCCCATTTCTACAATGAGGCTTCAGTGAGGTTTTCAAAAGTTTGTTTTGCCTTTTAATTTGATTGGCTCTTTAAAATATAAAAATATTTATCTTATCATATTTATGAAAAGTACTTTTCCCAGTTTCACTATGCCTTTTAATTTTATACTATGTTTCTGATCTATTGGCGATTTTAATTTTTATTTAGTGAAATCTGTCTAATTATTCTTTGAAGGTCTTTCTTTATTTGATCTGAGATTCATCTGTTTTAATATTTTTATTTAATTTAAAATTTTCATTAAGTCTTTATCTGTTTGTAGTTTATTCTAGTCAGGACTGTGAAATGAGGACTACAGTTTTTTTTTCAAATAAGAAATAAGTTGCTGTAAGATAACTTATTGAATCTTTTCTAACTTGTGATGTCTCCTTTATCATAAACTAGATTTAACACATGCTAGAGTCTTCAATGAGAATTTACTTGATTTTCAAAGTAAAAATAAGATAAATAATACATTAAAAAAAGATAGGTAACATTTATATGGTTCATTTACAAATGAACAAAGGACAAAAAATTGTAATAAAATTTCCTTTTTACTCCTAATTCCCAGCTACCCAGAAACCCTTCCCCCAAGGTAACCAAAGTCACCAGTTTCCTTTGTTTAAGATGTTTTTTCCGCTTGTTGCACAGATCAGAGCATGCTGCACATATGTTTGTATTGTACCTCAACCCTTTAGAATAAATTGGTTTTACAGATAATTTCATATCTGAGTATTAAGAGCTTTCTCATTATTTTTTATGTCTATAGAATATTTCATAAATGGATCTTTTACAGTTAAGTGAACCAATAGCTCTTGACTTCACTCTGTCAAATAAGGAACTAAATGGGCATTTACTTCTATCATCTTCCCTCATCCACATTCCCCAGTTTTAGTGAATACAGTTGGGCTTTAGGACTCATATTATCTATCTATATTTTTTAAAATGTGTTTTTCTTGATTTCAGAGAGAGGAAGGGAGAGTGAGAGAGAGATAGAAACATCAATGATGAGAGAATCGACTGCCTCCTACTGGGGATCCAGTCCTCAACCCGGGCATGTGCCCTGACCAGGAATTGAACCATGACCTCCTGGTTCATAGGTTGATGCTCAACCACGGAGCCACACTGGACAGGCTTATTTCTGTATTTTGTTTTTGTATTATATCTTCTCTTCTAGGAATTACAATTATTGTTTTTTTACATCTTCATCTAGTTTCAAATCATATTTGTAGTAAGTATTTATACTGTCTTTATCCTTAAGCTTTTAAATTTGAATCATTTCTCAGGCACTTGGGAAATTGTTTCAATATTTGTTTTCTAGAAGGGTGGATGTGTGGTATATTTTATGAGCCATCCCATATTTAGGTTGGCTTTTAGTTCTATTCACTTACGAACAATCCTTGGCTAAGTATAAAATTCTTAGGACTTCTTTTCTCTCTTAAACAACTATAAACATTTTTATTATCATGCCTTACTTAGCATTTCTGAGGAGAAATCTGATATCACTTTTTAAAAAATTCCCTGAAAGTCTGATTTTCCTGCCTAGAGGCTCATAGAATTATTTTTATTTATGTAATTTACAGCTTTCTAGAAAGAAGCTAGCTGTGGGTATCTTTGGTTTTAATCAACTTGATTAAAGTACTAGAGGCCCAGTGCACAAAATTTATGCATAGGTAGGGTCCCTAGTCCTGGCTGGTGATTAGGGCCGATTTGTGGGGCGACCAGTGGGGCGATCGGAGGGGGGGGGCGATGGAGGCCCGCTTGCACCCGCCTTGGCTGGCCTGGCGCCACCTGCTAGCCAGCCCTGCCCCCTAACGCTGCTGCCGGTTGGGGCCTGCGGTCTGGGGGAAGCTCCTGCATTGAGCGTCTGCTCCCTGGTGGTTAGTGCGCGTCATAGCGACCGGTCTTCCGCTGTTCGGTTGATTTGCATATTAGGGTTTTATATAGATAGATAATTTGCATGTAATAAAATGTACACAATTTGTCTTGTTTAATGAAGTTTGAAAAATACACCAATTTATTTAATCAGCACTCCTATGAAGATGTGGAATATTTCCTTTACCCGAGGACTCCCCTTATGCCCTTGCCATCTCTCCTTAAGTCATTCCTCCAAACCCACTCCTGTCAACCATTGACCTGATTTCCATGTTTGTAGATTAGTTTTGCCTCTGCCAAAGATTCACGTAAATAGAGTCATTCCATGTGTACTCTTTTGTGTCTGGCTTCTTTTGCTCAGCATAATGTTTGGAAAAGTCACCCATATTTTTGTGAGTGTTAATAGTTTATTATTTTAAAATTGGTGAATAGTAGTCCATTATATGAATAAAACACAGTTTGTTTATCCTCTCACCTGTTTATGGACATTTGAATTGTTTTTAGCCATCGTGATAAATAATTCTGTGAACACTTTGTACAAGTCTTTCTGAGGATATAGGTTTTCATTTCTCTTGGGTAAATACCTAAGAGTGGAATTGCTGGATCGTATAAATGCATGTTTAACTTTGTAAATATCTGCCAAATCATTTCCAAAGTGATTGTATCATTTTGTATTCTACCAGCAATATATCAGAACCTCCCCCTCCCCCTTCCGCACCATTGCTGGGCATCCTTGCAAACACTGGTATTGTCAGCCTTCCAACTGGGTGTCCAGTGCTAGCTTGTTGTGGTTTTAATTTGCCTTTCTCTGAGGACTAATGATCGTGAGCAACTTTTCATACTTATTGTGCATTCTTATATCTTCCTTTGAAAGCATCTCTTCAAGTTGTTTGCCCATTTATTTAATGTGATATTTTTGGTTGTTTTATTAGTAGATTGAAAGAATGCTTTGTATATTCTAGGTATAAGCCTTTTATCAGCTATATGTATTGCAAACATATTCCCCCAGTCTGTGTAGCTTGCCCTTTCATTTGTTGTTTACACTCTACTCCACTGATTTTCCATAGAAACATTTTGTTCTTTAGTAATTCCATTGTAGATTTAAATTGTTATTTAAGTTTCCTTACAATCCTTATCTTTTTGATCTGTTATCTTTTGAACTCAGTCTCTTATACTGTTTCAGCCTGTTGTCTTCCCATACTTTTTAAATATATTTTCGTAGAAGTTATATCTTCCTGTATCAAAATGGGAAAGGCAGTTTCCTAAACTGCTTTTGGTTTCTACAGTAAGTTCATTTCTGAGGCTTGTTCTTCTTCTGAGTCCTTAGAATGATGTTTTCTTTTACCTTTATTTTGCAGTATTTCTTCCCATAGTGCTCATGGCTCTCCTCACAGGACACAGTCTATGAATTTCCCTGCTCCGTTCACTTTCCACGCGCCCTGTCTGAAACTCTCTCTGTTCAGCAGGTGAGGGTTACGGATGTAGGCTGCAGCGTCTCGCTGGAATTGCCTAGTGAAGTTCTGCTGGACTCACACAGGCTCTTTCTCCACCCTCCCTCTGGTTCCCGGACGTGCTGAGGTTGGTTGAGTACCTGAAACACTGCAGTGTCAAGCTGGTCCTGATACCTGGCCACCTCCAGCCCCCATGGCTGCCTCTAGAGGTTGACCTGCAGTTACCACACCCCACGATGCGGGGTGGCTCTCCCTGCCCCCCACCTAACCAAGCCTGCATACTGTTTCATTCATGGTTTGGCCCTGCAGTTCAGACAGAAAGGCTCGTGCTTGGCAGTGTTTCTCGAACTTGAGCATTATTTTTCTTTATAGA